TTCTACTGACCTGGAGGTTGACGGTTGTTCGGCCATTAGAGCAGCATTTCGAGCTTCATGAACATCATCATCTTTGGCCTTCATTTCGAACTCATATGCCTTTAGATCACTAAATAATTTGTCTGTAAACAACATTCTTAGATCTCGGTGATCGCGCATAGCCGTAACCTTCATATCCCATGCAGATGGTAAGCCTCGTAGAATTTTGAGATTAATTTCTTTTTGGCTAATATTTTTGCCAAGATCACTAATCTCTCCAAGAACTTTGATCATTCGAGCTTCCATGTCTGCAACACTTTCATTTGAGAGCATTTTGAAATCTTCAAACTTCTTCATGGCGATTGTGAGCTTATTGTCTTTTTCTTGTTCATCTCCTTCGCCAATCTTGATGAGAGTTTCCCATATTTCTTTGGCAGTGTCACACTTTCGGATCTTCGGAAATATTGTATCATCAACGTCTTTGAATAGAATATCCTTGGCAATATTGTCAAGATTATTCCGCGTTCTATCGTCCGATGTCCATTCCGGTTTTGGCTTTTGTACGTACTGTGGAGCATCCGGGGATATAACAAACGCCGTATTGATTTTTAATATTTCTATAGGGCCAGTGGAAATAACTTCCCACATTTCATCGTGTAAGGCCGATAAGTGTACCTGCATACGAACTTTCCAATCATCAAATTTATCAAGTGAGAATAATAGATTTTGAGCTAAATCTTTCTTCATCATCATCACAAGAGATATGAAAGATTAATCCAATTTACACACTTTGTAGAATGGATCAGCCTAGCAGTCAAAAACAGTTAACCCAGTTGGGCAACGTGTTTTAATACCAAAGGTTGGTATAAACTGACTCAAGTAGGCTACAGGCTCTGATACTAATTGTTGGTCCCAAATGAGATAAGGTGAAAGTCTAGAGGGGGGGGGGGTGAATAGACTTTCAAACTTTTTCGCACAGCACAACAATTGGTAAGCCAGAGATAAACCAAAACTCTTAACTAGATTGTTAGAGTATGGTGCACAGCGGAAATAAATAAACATAAAGTGTGTGTGAGATTGTGTGAGCAGTATATCTCGTGTAGAGCGAATATGTAAAGAGCGGTAAGTAAAGAAAGCAGTAAAGAACACAAGACAGTTATAGTGGTTCGCGAGGTGGTGTAATCCTCCTACTCCACTTGCTCTTATCTCCAAGAGCAATTCACTATATCTACCACTCCTTGGTTCCTAGATACAATGAATTTCCGTGATCTAGTGCTTTGATCACAAAGCCCGCACTAATCACGCCCAGTGACACCACACTGCTGCTTCGGGTTTCACGTCGCCGCGCTACTATCCCAGGATTTCACGACTCCACGTTACTTTCCCCCCGTCTTCCACACTCCGGTAGAAACATATCCCGTGATCTAGTGCTTTGATCACAAAGCCCGCACTAATCACGCCCAGTGCCTCCGACACTGCTGCTTCGGATCTCACAGCTCCGTGTGACAATCCAGGATTTCACAGCTCCGTGCTACTTTCCCCCCTTCTCTTGTTTTGCTCCAAAACAAGTGTTGTCTTGCTTCCAACTTCTGACACTCTGTAGATGATCTTAAATGATGCGCAGGTCTCTTTTATGAAGATAAACACTCTGGAATGATTTATCTTGAATGCTCTGAGTGTTTTCTCTCTTTGAATATACCAAGTAAAGCACTTGATATTTTTGCTCTGCTTTGCTCTGTTTAAGAACTCTCAGAATATTTCTCTTTTGAAGCTCTCTGAGTTCTTTTTCTTTTCTCACTTCTCACTTGAAGATTTTTGGTATGCTTTGTACCAAATGAGATTTTTGCTCTATGCTCTTTCAAGCTTAATTGCTCTATTCGATCTCCTTGAAGAGTTCGTATTTTATGCTCTTGCTCTCTTATCTGCTCTACACTTCCCCATTCTTCAAGTCTTCATATCTTCATCATTTTATAGCTGGTAATGAGAATCTGTCCGTTGGAAAGAGACGCTGTCATTTTTGAAATCTTGTATCTTTTTGTCAGAGATCTTATCTTATCTTCTGCAAAGATGTCAGAAAGGATAAGCTAGCCGTTGTTAGAGCTTCATCTCCTTGTAAATGGGTTCTCAAACTTCATCTGATATTTCCTCTGGTTTTGCGTTGAGTGGGAATATCTGGGTGTAGAACGGCTTCTCTGATTGGCTCTGAAGTGGTCCTTGTATCTTTGGGATTTAAAAATATTCATTAATTTAATCCCATACTAGTTAAACTAGTATTTTTCCTTGTGAGAATATTTTCACTGTAAGTTCATCTTCATCTTCTTCATTGTCATGTCTGGGTGTTCTCAGACTTCAAACTGGCTTTGAACTTCCACCCAATTTGAATTTCTCCTTTGTAATTGACACCCAATTTCAATTCGCTTGTAATTGGCACCCAATTTGAATTTCTCCATTGTAATTGGCTCCCAATTGACTTTGACTTGCAATTGGCTCCCAAATTTCTCCTGGTGCTTTCAATTGCTTCCCAATTTAAATTGTTGACTTTGACTTCGAAATTGACTCCCAGACTTCTCCTGGTATTGAATTTCATCTCATTCAATTTGATTTCCTTGTCTTCATTTCCTCTGAAATCATTGGCTCCCAAGTGCTATTGCATCTCAATTGTCAGCTCCCGAGCCAAGTGCTATTGCATCTCAATTGTCAGCTCCCGAGCCATGTGCTATTGCATCTCAATTGTCAGCTCCCGAGCCAAGTGCTATTGCATCTCAATTGTCAGCTCAATTTCAATTGCAATTGTCAGCTCCCGAGCCAAGTGCTATTGCATCTCAATTGTCAGCTCCCAATTTCAATTGCTATGATTTCTCTGAAACTGGCTCCCATCTTCAATTCCTATGAAATCATTGGCTCCCAAGTGCAATTGCTTCCCAAAGTTTAAACTAGCGCCCAACTCCATCAGATTAATTTAATCTGGCTTCTCAAATTTTACCTTGTAAAATTGTTAATGGTGAGTTTTGAACCTGAGCTATTTCACATAATATATCAAGTATCATCCACTTCATCCGTACAGCTATTAATTAAATCTCCAATCATATTTGATGTACTCCTTTCTTTCAATAGATGCTTGATCTCCAAGTCAATTTCATGCATTCTTCCAATATTAATTTTCTTCACGAAAATTCTTCTGGGATATTTCTTTAAGTAGTAGCGACGTGAATATTGTATCATTCATCTTCTTCTTCAATTTGTCATTTTCTCCAGACAAATTCTTGATTTTCGGCTTTATATCTTCTTCTTCTATTTTCATCGATCTTCCTCTGTTTTTCTCTTTTCATATTTAAATAATTTCCCGATCATGGTCTAAGACTTTACTAGACCTAAGAAATAAAATTGGGAGATCTACAAATACATATTTGGCATATCAAAACCATTACACTTTATTCCGAATATTTCTCCAGACAAATTCTTGATTTTCGGCTTGATATCTTCTTCTACTATTTTCATGCATCTTCCTCTGTTTTTCTCTTTTGCAATTTAAATAATTTCCCGATCATGGTCTTAGACTCTACCAGACCTATAAAATAAAATTGGGGGATCTACAAATACATATTTGGCATATCAAAACCATTACACTTTATTCTTAACAATTTTCCCCCTTTTGATAATGCCAAAACCTATACTCAGTCATTGGTTTTAAGTCTTTGAAAAATAATCTTTTTGCTCAATTTTATTTGACAAACCCAAGATAATTTTAACGAATGGTTTTCTAGACACAATCAAAAGAAATTTGTGAATTAATTTTTTGACAAGCTCCTAAACGCATCTTGAATTATTTTTATTTTTGATCATCATTATTTTTTTAAATTTTTATGTGCGTTTTGACATTCCTTGTCTTTTTAATTCACAAAGATCTAATTACATAAGACAAATAAAATATTAAACTCAAAATAGACCATAGGAAATTATTATTGAGATATTTCGAATATTTAGAGAAAAACGCAACAGAGGTTCGAAAATAGCGAAAACATCAGCTTAAGAGATTTTTCAGATTACCTTCTGGGTTTCTTCACTCCCATGTCTTTCTTCAAAATTTCCTTGACATGTTCTCTGAGCTTGAAGAAATCATCTTTGAACTTTGCATTCTGAAATCTCTTTGTAAGTTGCCCGGCCATGTAATATCCAAAAGCTTCTTTGATATTGTTGCCCGGAAGAACTCCGGCTTCCCACCATAAGACACATTTTTCGAAGCTTCTTTCTTCTCCAAGATTCATGCCCATATTTCCAGTGAAATCTCTTAGTTCATACCACATCTCGGTTCTTTTCCTTTTGCCTTCTTCTTCTTTATTCTTCTCCAAGATCCATTGAGCTTGATCGGCTGCAGGCCATTTCTTGATCATGCTTGGTAGATTTTCCTTAGTCCATATTGTTGTCTGAGTGGCGGTACCTTTAGAGCATTCAAACCAGCCACGAGTTTCAACAACCTTCGATGTACTCGTACCAAGACTAGGATTCGCGAACTGAGCAAAACCAATCTGAGATGGTCCTTGTGAGGATTATCCGCGGCTTCGGCCTCTACCTTGGGTCGATATTGCTGGTTGTTGTTGGCTTCCAAGAATAAATTCTTGTTGTTGCAAAGCCAAGTGACTGAGAATTTCTTCCCCCCTTTTGGCGTTATCAACCAAAAATACAAGGGTTTTACAATCTCGGTCTTGGTTTGCCTTCACAGCTTCAACACTATTGTGTGTTTCAATAGAAACAGCTTGTACATTTTCCAGCTTGTTTGTAGCAACTGTGAGCTCAACTTCAAGTTTGTTGATTCGGCTTTCTTGATCTTGAATCACCTTGACTTGTCTCAAGTGGCGTTCGCTGTTAATCTTTTCAGCCGCTTCTCGTTCCTTCTTCGTGAGTTGAATCACTTCAAGTAAGCCTTTTGTCAATTCTCCTTTCAAGATTCTTTCTGCTTTGTCAATCTGAGTCTTCAAAATATTTTGATTCTCCATTAATTCCTTCAGATTGACTCGTGTATCCGTGTGTTGTTGATCCATCTTTTGATTTTGTTCAACCAACTTTTCTCCAATAGTTTGACAAACAACATCACCGGATTCAGCAACTTTGGCAAATAAGGATGAAAAAATTTCATCTTCTTGATCACTTGTCTGCACAAAATTTTGAGGAGATCCGAAAGGACTCCTTCTCGGATCTGTGAGAACGGGTGTATCAACGAGTTGCATCCTTTCTTCTTCTTCAGGTAATTCGGCTTCTTGATTGAGATCACCAATCTCTTCTTCTAAGACTTCTGTTCTCGTGTAGTTGTCTGCAAATAAATCTTCATTTTCTAGAACAGGGTCCATGATAGACATTGTAGACTCGGTATGGTGTACTGGCAATACACTGGATAAATTCCCTGTGATTTGTTGTCTACTCTCAGTAGCAACTTCTACTGCAACTTCCACTGGTATATCTCTTCTTCTTTCTTCTGACACTTCTCCTCCTAATTCTTCTTGTACTGACACTTCAGCTTCATTTGATCCCACAATTTGTTCATTGCACTCCAGATTCACATTAATTGTTGTGGGGGTCAAATCAGATATTAATAAAGAAGCATCATGGACTTTCACAGGTATGTCCATATGATTTTCAGTGCTCATGATTGGTACATCAATGAGTGCCGTCCCTTCAGTTCTTTCATCAAAAATTTCATTATCCACAAGAGATGTATTACCTGGATAATGTTGTGTGTCATAGACTGACCTTTGTAGAGCTAATTGAAGTGAAATTTCATTCTGTCTTTCTTGTTCCGCTATACGGTCTTGAGCCGTACTACCTCCCTTTATTTGTGCTTTTCCTTTTTGTCTGGCTGCTTTTTCGTGTAGCTTCATGTGATAGACTTGATTTAAATCAATGTTGAGTGCATCTAGCATCACGTTCGTTCCGCACCATTCTAAGGAAAAATCTTCACTCCGTATTAAATCTGGGGTGATTTTTGACATGAAAGAATGATATCTTTCAAGTTTCCATTCCCTCCAAGTTTGCACCATTATTAATTCTCTTAGCAGCTCCGGATCATCTTGAATGAGAGCTGAGTCAAAGACTATAGGTCCTGCACTTCCTTCGGTTGCAGATTGACTCGAGAGCCTTCGTTGTAGATCATTAGAAACTTGCACATCAACTCCTGCAAATTCCATTCTTGTTGTATCATCAACTCTTTCGGCCAACATGTTTGGTTCGGCATATTTGAGTGGAACAACAGTCATAGCCGTACTAATGGCTTCTTGATCTCTTCCGGACTGATTACTTGATCCAATTTGATTACTTGAGGCTGAGATTGCTTTGCTGCTTCTCATTCTTGAGCTTTGAGGTGTCTTTGAACTTGTAGAACTCCCACCTTCTTGTCATTTTCTCTGGCTTGATCTTTTCCCAAAATTCGGGCTGAATTTTCTGAAGAGTACTCTGTAGATTCCAATATTTTTGTGCTTTCTCATTGGAATTGTTTTCTTCCTTAGCAGTTCTCCAATGATGAGACCATATCCAACATTTTGATACAAACGGTCCACCACAGCAGGTTTCTTCATTGGTTTGGCAGCTTGCACAAATATAATCATCTTCCTGTAGATAAATCTTGCCCATTTGAATTTTATTCCTTTCATAATGCCATCTATTAAGCACACTGTTGATGCGGTCAAATCTTTAGTACTTCCCAGTTTGTGTTCAAGAATCTTGTAAATCATGTCCACCAACATCTCATATTCAAACTTCAACAAGTTCTTATGAGCGGATACATCAGAGAAAATTGGAGCCGTAGGACCACGAATCTCGTTCCAAAAATTTTGAACAACATAGCTGTGAGATTCTGGCATTATCTGAGATTCAGGAAAGCTGAAGCACTTGTGTATATCATTCTCAGTGATCGAAACTTCTGATCCTCTAACTCTAGATTTAATTGAATCTTTTTCCACAACTGCATGTAGATAAAATTCGGCTACATCTTCTTCAAAGGTTCCAAAGTAGTTGTAGGTGAAGAAATCAAACAGTCCACAGTCTTTTAGAGCTTGAAGAATTTTCTCGGTCGTGTCCTTTTTGGTAGAACCTAGTTTGAAAAACTCAGGGTTGAGTACATCCCATTAGTCACTTGTTGCGAGAGGGCTAAGATATGATCGATTTGCTTTCTTCCAGATTGAGCCATGATGATCAGATTGGTTTTGAGAAGAAGGATAATTTTTAAGAGAGAGTTTTTTGATATTCTGAAGGTCTGAAAGAGTTTTTGAGAGATAAGTGAGGGGTTTATATGAGGAGGATGACTCGAAGGGGTTTTTCGAACTTAAGAGAGAGAGAGATGAGACTTCTCAATTGTACCCTTTGGTTGAGGTGTGTCGATTGGGTGAGTTTAGCATAGATGAGTCATCTGATAGATGGTGTTATGAGGATAGAGAAAATATCATCATTAGCAGACAAGAGCATTTAATGCTCACACCTCTTTAGAAATACCCAATGCACGTAAAGTGTAGAGGGTGGAGATTTGAAGAGACGCTTAGGAAGGATTTGGGTTCAGATCTCCTTGAGATTTGTTTATGGGGATCGATTAAGAGGGTGATTTTTCTGACAGGCGAGATGCGAGTGTCGATTAAGAGAGAGGGTAAATCTGTTTGGGAAGGATTTTGATTTGGGAGTGAATCAGTTTGGAAAGATTTGATCTAGGAGAGGATTATGGGGAGAGGTTTAGGTTGGGTGGAGGTTTAGAAAGGATAGGAGTTTATGGGTGGAGGTTTGATGCCCAATTAAACTCTGATTTTCCTCCTTTATCTCCTAATTTCCTTCTCAAAATCGTGTACCACAAATATAATCTCATTCAAACACTTCGTTAGTAGCATAAATCACTCCACAAATAATTAATCACACATACCAATATATATTAATCATATACACGGTAATTTCCAATAAAAACAAACAAATTTTGGAAACTAAAAAAATTAACACATATATTCCAAATTAATATTTAGAAACAACTTTATATAAATTTTACATGCAAATCAGATTCCAAAATATTTTAGAAACTAACAAATAATTTAACTTTTAGCTCAGGTTTCTAAAACATTTTAAAACAAATTATAACACATAAACCATATATGTACGAAACACATATATAAAGCAATAAACACACTAAATTAAATCTTTTAAAGCAAATTGCTCATGCAAACAAATTATTTAAATTATACAAACATGAACAAATACTTGTTGACTAAATAACACATTGAAACATGTAATTTTAAACAAATTGTCAAATAAATCACGAATTGCACATTTCATCAAATTAATTTGCATGGCATATGATCTCACATTAAATAACACATGCAAATACACAATTAAATTCGTAACACATATTGCAATTTTATTACACAAAAAATTTCGAATAGACAATTGCATATAAACACATGAAACAATTTATTCACGTAAAACAATTTATTTTGAGCACAAGTATCAATTAAAATAGAGAGATTAAGTCCAGTGATACTTAGCTCATTTCGATCATTCCCAACTCGTGCCTTAAGGTAGAAAATCTCGTTTTGCATAAAGGCTTCGTGAGAATATCAGCAACTTGGTTTTCCGTAGGGATATATTCGATCTTCAGATTTTTCTTTTCAACATGATCCCATATGAAGTGATGTCGAATGTCGATATGTTTGGTTCTTGAGTGAAGCACCGGATTGTGAGTGATAGCAATTGCACTAGTATTATCATAATAAATACTAACGTCATCACAATTTACTCCGTAATCCTTCATTTGTTGCTTCCTGCAGCAATGTATTCAGCCTCGGCAGTACTAGTTGTGATAGAATTTTGCTTTTTGCTGAACCAAGAAACAAGCCTTCCCCCCAGGAACTGGCATGTCCCGGAAGTGCTTTTTCTGTCTATTTTGCAACCTGCAAAATCCGCATCTGAAAAACCCGTTAGAGTAAAATCTGTACCTTTTGGATACCACAATCCAACATTGATTGTGCCTTTCAGATATCGTATGATCTTCTTTGTTGCGGTGAGGTGGCTTTCTTTTGGATTTGCTTGGAATCTTGCACACACTCCCACAACATAAGAAACGTCCGGCCTGCTTGCAGTAAGGTATAGAAGAGAACCAATCATTCCTCTATATTTTGTTTGATCGACATCCTTTCCATCTTCATCTTTGTCTAGCCTTATTGATGTGCTCATTGGAATTTTGATCGATGATTTTCCATCAAGGCCAAACTTCTTTATCAAGTCGCGGGTGTACTTTGCTTGATCGATGAATACTCATTCTTTCAGTTGTTTGACTTGTAAGCCCAAGAAGTAATTCAATTCACCCATCATGCTCATTTCGAATTTATTCTGCATAAGCTTCGAAAATTTCTCACACAAAGAATTGTTAGTGCTTCCAAAAATAATATCATCAACATATATTTGCACTAATAAAATATGATCACCATCTTGAATTCTAAATAGAGTTTTGTCAACAAGGCCTTTGGTGAATCCACAGCTTATCAAGAACATTGACAAAGTATCATACCAAGCTCGAGCTGCTTGTTTCAACCCATACAATGCCTTTTTAATTTTGTAGACTTTAGCACCTTCGCCTTTTACCTCAAAATCCGGGGGATGTTCAACATAAACTTCTTCTTCGAGTAGACCATTCAAGAATGCGCTTTTGACGTCCATTTGATAAACGGTGAAATCTTTGTGTGCGGCGTAGGCTAGGAAAATTCTTATTGCTTCGAGTCGGGCTACTGGTGCAAAAGTTTCATCAAAATCTATTCCTTCTTCTTGAGAGTATCCTTTTGCAACAAGCCTTGCTTTATTCCTAACAATCACGCCTTCTTCGTTTGCTTTGTTCCGGAAGACCCATTTGGTTCCTACAACGTTGTGGTTCGCGGTCTTGGAACAAGTTCCCAAACATCATTTTTTTTTTTGAATTGATCGAGCTCTTCTTGCATAGCATTTATGCAATCCAGATCATTTAGAGCTTCGTCAACTTCTTTTGGTTCAATTTGAGATAGATAACACGTGAACAATGCTTCCATGGTAAATGATCTTGTTTTCA